TCACTGATCTCTCAATTTATCTATCTATCTCTATCTATCTATCTATCTATCTATCTATCTATCTATCTATCTATCTATCTATCTATCTATCTATCTATCTATCTATCTATCTATCTATCTATCTATCTATCTATCTATCTATCTATCTATCTATCTATCTATCTATCTATCTATCTATCTATCTATCTATCTATCTATCTATCTATCTATCTATCTATCTATCTATCTATCTATCTATCTATCTATCTATCTATCTATCTATCTATCTATCTATATATATATATATATCTATCTATCTATCTATCTATCTATCTATCTATCTATCTATCTATCTATCTATCTATCTATCTATCTATCTATCTATCTACTATCTATCTATCTATCTATCTATCTATCTATCTATCTATCTATCTATCCATCCATCCATCTATCCATCCATCCATCCATCCATCCATCCATCCATCCATCTATCTATCTATCTATCTATCTATCTATCTATCTATCTATCTATCTATCTATCTATCTATCTATCATTAAGGTTCAAATTAAGATGTTGTAAGCTGTTCTGGTAATCACTTCTAAAATTTGATTAAATCTCTAATATTAAACTTATACCCAAATGTCGACGTTAAAAAATCGACTATATGTCCGTTGGGTTCTCACTTACTTCTAGAGACACACACTCTTATATACCTACAAAATTTACATACACCTACAAACCTATAGAAGTAAGTATGTATGTAAATAAATGTATGCATTCATGTACCAAAGTGTGTTTGTTTGTACATATATATTGCAATGTATATACTACATATACTACAGTGTATTTATTTAAACTTGTAGACTTAACTGTGGGGTTAAATATTTACTTACAAACCCTTAACGCCTTCATTCAACATACTACATCCATTTACTTACCCAACCATCCTGCTCCCTCCAGATGTATGTATGTTTGAGTGTATGTATATATAAAATTTCTAACCTATTGAAAATATTTACGGTTATGTACACATATACACCTAAATTTTAATTGCACTGTGTTAAGGAAGTTAAAAAAATAGGGTTAAAATTTGTTGTTGTTGTTTTTGTTTTCTGCGTTGTGTCGAGTTGCAGTTGCATGCAGAGCAGTACGTACGTGGTAGTAAGTGTAACCGAAATTAGGTTAAAGATATAATAGGTTTTTGTATAAGAAGATTTTAAGTGCTGCCAGACTATTGTTATCAGAAGTTTTTTTATTTTTTTTTTTACTTTTTTTTAGCTAAGAATTACTTTTTCTAAATAATTGTAGGAAATTTTTGAGAGAAAAATTAAGAACGTGGTAGATTGTAGTAAAGGGTTTGAACCCTTATGATTTATTTTTACTATAACTATTTTGTTTTATTTTGTAAGACTATTTGCAATTATTTGTATTAGATTTTTGCATTCATTATTCAATACGATAGTTTCCCTTGCTATTTCAGAGATATTAAAATCTTAATAAAAAAATTTGGGACAAAAGTTTTAGAAAATGAATACATTAACCCTTGAAAATACTTTAGCTGGTTTAGTTTAGAGTGATATATAGATAGATAGATAGATAGATAGATAGATAGATAGATAGCTAGCTGATAGATAGATAGATAGCTGATAGCTATCTAGATCCTCGCTCGCTCGATCTCTCGCTCGCTTGCTCGCTCGCTCGCTCGCTCGCTCGCTGCTCGATCGCTCGATCGCTCGCTGCTCGATCGCTCTCGCTCGCTCGCTCTCTCGCTCGCTCGCTCGCTCGCTCGCTCGCTCGCTCGCTCGCTCGCTCGATCGCTAGCTCGCTCGCTCGCTCGCTCGCTCGCTCGCTCGCGCTCGCTCGCTCGCTCGCTCGCCCGCTCGCTCTCTCGCCCGCTCGCTCGCTCGCTCGCTCGCTCTCCCGCTCGCTCGCTCGCTCCTCGCTCGCTCGCTCGCTCGCTCGCTCGCTCGCTCGCTCGCTCGCTCGCTCGCTCGCTCGCTCGCTCGCTCCTCGCTCGCTCGCTCGCTCTCTCGCTCGCTCGCTCGCTCCTCCTCGCCTCGCTCGCTCGCTCGCTCGCTCGCTCGCTCGCTCGCTCGCTCGCTCGCTCGCTCGCTCGCTCGCTCGCTCGCTCTCTCGCTCGCTCGCTCGCTCTCGCTCGCTCGCTCGCTCGCTCGCTCGCTCGCTCCTCTCTCGTCCCCCCCCTGTTCCTCTCCCCCTCTTTTTTCTCTCCCCTTTGCCTCCCTTCTCTCCCCCCCCTGTTTTCCCCCCTTCTTTGCCTCTTGTCCCCTTGCCTCTCCCGTCGTTTTTTCCGCTTTCACGCCCCCTCTGTTGTCCAGGCCTGTTCGTAAATTGAAAAGTTCGTTATATGCAGTACTAACTAAAACGTGGGTTTTTGGTAGGAAAATAATTAAAAATAGGTACATAAAATATTTTTTAAATGTATTTTATAAAATTAATTCTTTTTTTATAAAAATAGCACAAAACACAAAATTCCGAATTTTATATACCCACCTTCAAACCATATTTGTGTCGAATTTAATCGCTGTATTTTTAATTCAGTCATGAGCTTTAAAGTTATTTCTCGAAGTTCATCGCTATACTCGTATTTTTAAGCGAGTAATGAGCGTTGAAGTGATTTTCTTAAGGGGGGCCTGATATGGAGGGTAAGGTCAATTATGGACCGATTCCCATAAAATTTTTTAGAGATTTCGGTTAGTATAGAACATGTTTGTATCGAATTTCATCGGCGTACTAGTATTGTTAAGCGAGTATTGAGCGTTAAAGTCATTATCTGAAGGACGGACGGACATAGCTACATCGAACTAAAATTTAATAAGAACCCAGAATGTGTTACAGTTTTGGGTATAAAAGCACCGCTTAAAACAACGGTATAGTTTTTTGCTACAACTTAGGTTATTTGTTATTTTTGATAAATGTCATTTTATCTTCATTTAAATAATAATATTTTTATTAGTTCGTTAAACAGAGTACAAAAAACAAGTTTTGTTCGTTATTTAAGGTAGTCAATAGGAAAAATTAGCTTGTACGTTAAATGCGATGTTCGTAGAATTGAATGGTCGTTAAATCGGAAAACTACTGTATATTAAATAAATTGTTACTTTTTAATGAATACATTTATATACATATGTATAATCAACACTACACCCAACAGATTACATAAGTTATTAAGGTAATTTTGAACAAAACAACAACAAGTATAATAAAATAATAAAAAAAATAAATAATAAGTATGTAGTAAATGAAACTTGAAAATGTTTATTCAACATTAATCCTTTAATTATCCTCTCACCACTAAAAAAATATATTAAGAGGAAAATCTTCGAAATCCTTATCTACATATTTAGTAGCTAATGGAATACTATTGCTTACTACTTATACAGTTGATTTTTTTTACTGTTGTTCACATTTTGGTACTCATATCTTCTTAAGTACTTGTTCTCTAGTATAATTGTTACTCTTCAAAACTGACTCAAGTAATGTTTATTGTTGATGCCTAGGATGTAGTAAATACATTTATTATATTTTCATTATTCATACATATCCATTGTGGCAAAAAAAAAACAATGCGTGTAAGCCTTCTCATGCAAATTACTTTAGAATATTGTTACTGTGCCCCCTTGTAGTTAGTAGTGGTAGTAGTGTACTTGGTCGAGCATCCATCTATCCAGCCAGCCAGCCAAGGCAAGTCAAGCTGATGCATTCATTCATCATTAATCAGAGAAAGGAGAAAGCAAAACTATTCAGTAATTGTAGGTTCATACACGCAGAGAAAATTTGATTAGCATAACTATTCTTTAGTTTTGTAATCACGTGTTTATGATTACAACAAAAATTCTTATTAAAAATTATTACAACAGTTAAGTTTATTATGATAAACATATACATACTTAGTTGCCGCAATCATTTTGTAATTACGGCAGACATTTTAATAAAATACAGTTGCGATTCCTGAAAATATAATTACAGTAACCGCAATATTGTTAAATTTCTTGTTATTTAACCTAATTTTTTCTCTCAGTGTTCTTGTTAAGTTGTATGTCATGCTGCAACATGAATACATTCATTCATTCTATTATTTAAATATTTATTTACGATTGCTGACGTATGTATGTGTATGTGTGTGAGCAGCGTGTGTATGCCACTGGAGTGCACGCATCTCCTTACAGCTAGGGAATAGATTCATTTACATTCAACATCATCATCAACATCATCCTGGCAGTTAGTTTCTTCTGCTATATTTTTGCTACCATCTTGCTGATGATGGCTGTTGGTGCATCACACCATTATTTGCCATGATATTATTCTTGCCTCAGCAGCATCTGTTGAAGAGGTTACACCGTGTGCAAATGTCGTATGTGTGTAATGTTTGTGTACCATGGTTTGTTGTAGTTGTTGTATGGAAATTTATTATTTTTGCTCATTCGTTGAGCTGTTGTGTTTGCATTTTACGCGTATTAATTTGCAATTAGACCAACACAACACAAATATTGTTCAACATACCTCTCGTTGTTGTTGTAGTTGTTGGGGTAAATCTATTTAACAATTTAACAAGAATTTAATAAATTTAAATGAGACTTGAGTTTAGAATTGACTACACTCGACTACAGACTGGACCTTATTCTCGAGTATAGTCAGGAATCGAATATAGATATTTACTTGACTATAGTCTCGGCTAGACTATAGACTAGACTATAATATCGATTATAGACCACACTATAATATTGATTATAGACCACACTATAGTCTCGACTATAGACTACACTATAGTCCCGACTATAGACTACACTATAGTCTCGACTATACACTACACTATTGTCTTGACTATAGACTAGGCCATAGTCTCAACTGCAGACTAAACTACAGCCTCGACTATAGACAAGTATGTATTGTCGATTCTAAAATATTTTTGTGTAAATTTTGATTCAGTTTTAAAGATCAATTATTGTCCATTTAAGCATTTCATTCCTAAGCTCTCCTTATTTTTTCTCTTCTCTTTCAGTACATACGAGTCTAACATCTGTATCGTCATCATTATCGTCGTCTTCCACCTTCTATAATACACCTGCCACCCTACTCTTCACCACATATCATGACATACAGGTGGCAAATATAACAAAACCCACCGGTGGACCACAAATAGATGTTCTTGTCAAAGATCTCACCGAAACAATGGCCATTGATTTTTACTATGCAAAAAATTTAATCTGCTGGACCGATTGTGGTCGTGAAATAATCGAGTGTGTTAATGTAAATACAACCGGGTCGATATTGAAGGCACCCAAACAAACTGTGATATCAACTGGTTTAGATAAACCGGAAGGTTTGGCCATTGATTGGTATACGGATAAAATCTATTGGACAGATGGTGAAAAGAATCGCATAGAGGTGGCAACGCTGAATGGTAAATACCAGAAAGTATTATTTTGGACAGATCTCGATCAGCCAAGAGCCATAGCTCTAGTACCTGCTAAGAAATTCTTGATATGGACAGACTGGGGTGAATATCCGAAAATAGAAAGGGCCAGCATGGATGGTGACCCCCTAACACGCATGACTTTGGTTAAAGATAATATATTTTGGCCAAATGGTTTGACGGTGGATTTAAAAAATGATTTGATTTACTGGGCCGATGGCCATTTGAAATTTATAGATGTTATGAAACTAGATGGCAGTAATCGTAGGAATATTGTTAATAATCTAAAATATCCCTATAGTTTGACCTACTTCGATAGTCGTCTTTATTGGACAGACTGGGCTCAGGGTTCGTTAAATGTTTACGATTTGAAATCTAAGGAAATGAAAGAGTTGATAGATACCCCAGAAGCTCCCAATTCCGTACGCACTTGGGATCCCTCTCTGCAGCCCTATGAAGATAATCCTTGTGCCCATAATAATGGCAACTGTAGTCATCTTTGTTTACTAAGCACTAATGCTCAAGGTTATAGTTGTGTTTGTCCTACTGGCGTCAAGCTGATATCGGAGAATACTTGTGCCAATGGTTCCCAGGAAATGCTGTTTATAGTGCAAAGGGGGCAGATCAGTAAAATTTCCTTAGACTCACCGGATTTCACCATATTTCCCCTGCCTTTGGGGAAGGTAAAATACGCCATAGCTATTGATTATGATCCAGTGGATGAGTATATTTATTGGTCTGATGTGGAAGCTTATTCGATTAAAAGGGCTCATCCGGATGGTACCGGGGTTTCAGATTTTGTTACTTCCGAGGTAAGACATGCTGATGGCTTGGCGGTAGATTGGTTGGCTAGAAATCTTTATTGGACTGACACTGTTACTGATCGTATAGAAGTAATGCGGTTAGATGGTTCGGCTCGTAAGGTTTTGGTTTATGAACACTTGGAGGAACCTAGAGCAATTGCTTTGGCACCCACTTTGGGTTGGATGTTTTGGAGTGATTGGAATGAAAAGAAACCGAAAGTAGAGCGGGCCTCTTTAGATGGCTCTGAGCGAGTGGTTTTGGTGTCAGAAGATTTAGCCTGGCCTAATGGTATAGCTTTGGATATAGAAGCTAAAACTATTTACTGGTGTGATGGCAAGACAGATAAAATAGAAGTGGCCAATATGGATGGTTCTGATAGACGTGTGGTTATAAGTGATAATCTTAAACATCTGTTCGGCTTAAGTCTGTTGGATGATTATTTGTATTGGACCGATTGGCAAAGAAGATCCATAGACAGGGCTCACAAGATTACCGGCAATAATCGTATAGTGGTGGTGGATCAATATCCCGATTTAATGGGTTTAAAGGTGACGCGTTTAAGAGAGGTAAAAGGCACTAATGCTTGTGCCGTACGCAATGGCGGCTGTTCGCATTTGTGCTTAAATCGTCCTAGTGATTATGTCTGTCGCTGTTCCATAGAATATGAATTGGCCAATGATAAGAAAACGTGTGTTATACCCGAGGCTTATTTACTGTTCTCCAAACAAGAATATATTGGACGCATTTCCATAGAAAATAATGAGGGTAATCATAATGATGAGAAAATACCCTTTAAAGATGTACGCTATGCCCATTCTCTCGATGTGGATGTAGCCGACAAACGTATCTATTGGACGGATCAAAAATCTAAATGTATTTATCGAGCTTCATTGAATGGTTCCTATGTTCAGCGCATAGTGGATGCTGGTATTATAAGACCCGAGGGTATAGCGGTAGATTGGTTGGGTCACAATATTTACTGGACCGATTCGGAAGCTAGACGCATAGAAGTGGCTCGCTTGGATGGTAGCAGTCGTAGAGTTTTATTATGGAAAGGAGTAGAAGAACCTAGATCTTTAGTTTTGGAACCACGTAAAGGTTATATGTATTGGACCGAGTCGCCCTCAGATTCCATAAGAAGAGCAGCCATGGATGGCTCGGAATTGCAAACTATTATCTCCAGTGCCAATCATGCTACCGGTTTAACTTTGGATCCAGAAACTAGACGTCTCTACTGGGCTACTCAGTCCAGGCCCACTAAAATTGAGTCTGCCGATTGGGATGGCAAAAAAAGACAAGTTCTAGTGAGTACAGATGTAGATGAACCCTATGCCGTTTCCCTGTATCAAGACTATGTTTATTGGAGTGATTGGAATACGGGAGATATTGAAAGAGTCCATAAGATTACCGGACAAAATCGCAGTTTGGTACACAGCGGCATGACTTATATCAGTTCCTTGGTGGTATTTTATAATCAAAGACAAGTGGGCACTAATCCTTGTAAATTGAATAATGGTGGTTGTTCCCATTTGTGTTTGGCTTTACCTAGCCGGAGGGGCATGACTTGTGCCTGTCCTACTCATTACACCTTGGCCAAAGATAATGTTTCCTGTATACCTCCTAAGAATTATATCATCTTTAGTCAGAGAAACAGTTTTGGACGCCTAATGCCTAATACTACAGATTGTCCCAATGTGCCATTGCCGGTAACAGGCAAAAATATACGGGCGGTGGAATATGATCCCATAACACATTTTGTTTACTGGGTAAGGAATATTAGGGGTGCCTTTTTATATTTGAAATAGTTAACAATTATCTTAATTCATTTTAGGTGGAGGGCCGCAGTCATAGTATTAAAAGAGCCTTAGTTAATGGCACTAGAGCTTCGGTTTTGGTAGGTTCTGGTTCTCAACCTTTCGATATAGCCATAGATGTTATAGGCCGTTTACTGTTTTGGACCTGTTCCCATTCGAATAGCATAAATGTTACCAGGTTTGTGGAAGAGAATTCCAATTCTCTGAAAACATTAATTTTATTATTAAATTTGATCTTTTTGATTTAGTTTTGCTGGCGATTCTATAGGAGTCATAGATACTGGCGACTCGGAGAAGCCTCGTAATATAGCGGTACACTCCATGAAACGTTTATTGTTTTGGACCGATGTGGGTAGCAAACAAGCCATCATACGTTCACGGGTAGATGGAGCTGAACGTGTAGTTTTAGCTTTTAAGCTAGAAGGTGTTACCGCCTTGGCTGTGGACCAACAAATTGATATGATTTATTATGCCCATGGCAAGCGTATAGATTCCATGGATATCAATGGCAAAAATAAGTAAGTTGAGGGAAAGGAAATTTTGGAAAATATTAGATTTTTATTAATTTTTTTGATATTTTAGAAAAATTTTGGTTTCCACCCACATATCTCAAGTCATATCTATAGCTGCTTTACAAGGTTTTGTTTACTGGCTAGATGACAAAACCGGGGTGGAGCGCATTACTATTAATGGTGAGGGTAGAAGAGCAGAAATGCAGCGTATGCCACAAATTACCGATATAGTGGCGGTTTGGACTCCAGAATCAAAATTGTTTAGAAATCATACGTGTCTACATGCCCGCACCAAGTGCTCCCATATTTGTATAGCTTCAGCTGAAGGCCGTAGTCGTGAAGTATGTTCTTGCCCTAAAAATCTAATGCTTTTGGAAGATGAACAAAATTGTGGTGCCTTGCCGGCCTGTGGACCTGATCATTTCACCTGTGCTGCCCCAGTGGCTGGAGGAGGAGCTAATAGTGATATGAATAAGGATTGTATACCGGCCTCATGGCGTTGTGATGGGCAAAATGATTGTCCCGATAAATCCGATGAAGTGGGCTGTCCCTCATGTCGACCAGATCAATTCAGTTGCCAGTCGGGAGAATGTATAGACAAAGCTTTAGTTTGTGATGGCACCACCAATTGTGCCAATGGACATGATGAGGCCGATTGCTGCAAACGGCCGGGAGAGTTCCAATGTCCTATTAATAAGGTAATTTGAGAAAAAAAAGAAGAATTTTGGAATTTGTTTTTATTGTTTTATTATATTCTGCCTTTCTAGCTTTGCATATCAGCTGCTTTGTTGTGTGATGGCTGGGATCATTGTGCTGATGGAGCTGATGAATCAGCTGACATTTGCTCCCAGGCCAATACTAGACGCATGGCTCCTTCCTCGGATAAAAAGGCTTTTATGATTTTAATAGTGGCCACCATGATTACTATATTTTCCATAGTTTATTTATTACAATTTTGTCGCACACGTATAGGTAAAAATCGCAATGAACCCAAGGATGATCAAGCCTCGGATCCTTTAAGTCCTTCTACACTAAGTAAATCGCAAAGAGTATCAAAAATTGCCTCTGTGGCCGATGCAGTGCGCATGTCTACTTTGAACTCACGCACCAGCATGAATTCCTATGATCGTAATCATATAACCGGAGCCTCTAGTTCTACCACAAATGGCTCCAGTATGGTAGCCTATCCCATTAATCCACCACCCTCTCCAGCTACCCGCTCAAGGCGTCCATATCGCCATTATAAAATTATTAATCAACCACCCCCACCTACACCCTGTTCCACCGATATTTGTGATGAATCCGATTCGAACTATACCAGCAAATCGAATAGCAATAATAGTAATGGCAATACCAAATTATCCTCTTCCTCAGCCAATGCCAATTCCTGTCTACAGTACGGCTACGATAGTGAACCCTATCCACCACCACCTACACCACGTTCTCACTATCACAGTGATGTTAGAATATTACCTGAATCCTCTTGTCCTCCTTCGCCTAGCTCAAGATCTTCTACATACTTTTCACCACTGCCTCCACCACCCTCACCGGTACAATCACCTAGTCGAGGTTTCACGTAACAGTTTGAAATTTTTATGTAAGTTCTTTTTTTAGTTTAGGTTTTTTTTTATGTTATCTTAAAACTTTAAGGCTTCCAAATTTTATTTAAACCCCCTTTTATAAGTTTTGTTGTAAATACTTTAATGAAAATTTAACCTAAAGTATTAATTTATAATTGTATATAACTTTTCTTAATTCTTAAATGAAATTAGATTTAAAATGTAAATGTAATTTATCTAAAACAAACATATCCATTTGAGGAAATTTTAATTTTAATAATTGAGGCCATTTCTTAAACCTATTAAACCCTCCACCCTTTAAAAGGTAAACAAATCTTAAACCCCTTTTTAAACAACGAATGAGAAAATAAACATTAGACTTGAAAAATTAAAAAGTAAAAGAAATGCAATTAAAATATTATAACAGATAACAAAAGTCTTTAAAATACATATTAAAAACAAAACGTAATTGTCAAATAATTTAAACTTAGTTTTATACAAACTCAAACAAATTTCATAAATTTGAACAGAATTTAGAAAAAAAATCTTTAAATTTAACAAAATTTTTAATTTGTTTATAATAAATGTTTTTAGTGGTAATATTCAACTCAATTCCACAAGGCCATGGGTTTGTAATTGACAACAGAAACAAAACCTTTATTAATAGACTGTCTATTTTAATTGTAATTTAAAAATGATAAGTATCGAGTATAACAACTAAAACGGGATTAATTAATTTAAAGAAAAAAAAGGAAAAAAATGTTCAAATTTAAAAAAATAATGTGCCAAATTTAAACAAATATAATACTTACTTCAAACTTATTATAACTTATAGATAAACAAACAAATATCATAAAGAAACCTACAAGCAATTTTTAAGTTAAAATTTATTTATAAAAATCCAGGCATGGAAAATTTTAATTTTGAAATAGTACTAAGGTTTTAATAAAAATAGTACTTTTTAGGTTTTAACGTACTAAACTAATTTTCTGCTAGACCATAGACTAGACTATGGACTGTACTATAGACTAGACTAGACTATAGGGTAGACAGTAGATTAGATTGTAGACTAGACTATAAACTAGAGTAGACTATAGACTGGACTATAGATTAGAATGTAGACTGGACTATGGACTAGACTATAGACTAGACTATAGACTAGTCTATAGACTAGACTATAGACTAGACTATAGACTAGACTATAGACTAGACTATAGACTAGACTATAGACTAGACTATAGACTAGACTATAGACTAGACTATAGACTAGACTATAGACTAGACTATAGACTAGACTATAGACTAGACTATAGACTAGACTATAGACTAGACTAAGACTAGACTATAGACTAGACTATAGACTAGACTATAGACTAGACTATAGACTAGACTATAGACTAGACTATAGACTAGACTATAGACTAGACTATAGACTAGACTATAGACTAGACTATAGACTAGACTAGACTATAGACTAGACTATAGACTAGACTATAGACTAGACTATAGACTAGACTATAGACTAGACTATAGACTAGACTATAGACTAGACTAAGACTAGACTATAGACTAGACTATAGACTAGACTATAGACTAGACTATAGACTAGACTATAGACTAGACTATAGACTAGACTATAGACTAGACTATAGACTAGACTATAGACTAGACTAGACTATAGACTAGACTATAGACTAAACTATAGACTAGACTATAGACTAGACTATAGACTAGACTATAGACTAGACATAGACTAGACTATAGACTAGACTATAGACTAGACTATAGACTAGACTATAGACTAGACTATAGACTAGACTATAGACTAGACTATAGAGTGGACTATAGACTAGACTATAGACTGGACTATAGACTAGACTATAGACTAGACTATAGACTAGACTATAGACTAGACTATAGACTAGACTATAGACTAGACTATAGACTAGACTATAGACTAGACTATAGACTAGACTATAGACTAGACTATAGACTAGACTATAGACTAGACTATAGACTAGACTATAGACTAGACTATAGACTAGACTATAGACTAGACTGGACTATAGACTGGACTATACGCTAGACTATAGACTAGACTATAGACTAGACTATAGACTAGACTATAGACTAGACTATAGACTAGACTATAGACTAGACTATAGACTAGACTATAGACTAGACTATAGACTAGAATATAGAATAGACTATAGACCATACTATGGACTATACTATAGACCTATAGTCTAGACTATAGACTAGACTATAGAATAAACTATAGACTGGACTATAGACTAGACTATAGACTAGACTATAGACTAGACTATAGACTAGACTATGGACTAGACTATAGACTAGACTATAGACTAGATTATAGACTGGACTATAGAATAGACTATAGATGTTTATTCTACCAAACTTCATATTTTTCAAACTCTAACACTAAACATTCTCTCTTTAAATGCCATTTTTACAAAACATATCTCTATTTATTAAATCGAAACCTCTGCCCTTTTTATAATCTCCCTCCCCTCCTTTACCATTTTGTAAATATTTTATTTATTATTAAAATTAATTAATTTAACTTTAAGTTAAAACCAATTTTTATTTTTGTGTTAAAAAAAAGAAAGCAAAACTTTCCGTGTCATTTTTTTATATAATTAAAATAGTTATTTAATCTATTACTAGTTTAATTATAACTTTATTATAAGTAAAAAATTTAATTATTATTATAATTTTTTTTTAAATAGTTAAAAGTAACGCCAAAAAGTGCCTCAATTTATTAATGTGTGTTAATTTAATAGACCTTTATATTGTATCTATGTTTATGTAAATTATGTTTTATTTTATTCTTATATATAATTTAAAATCTGTTTATAACTATTTACCTTAATTGTTTTATATATAGTTTTTTTTTCAAACATTTTTCTAACACTGACTTTTGTATGTTTTTAATTTCCCAACACTATACAACAACAAATATATACAAATATTAAAATAATAATCAAAACAATTATATTTAAATAGTAATAAAATATTAAAAAGAAAACCTAATAATTACTGCAAAAGAAAGATTTAAAAAGTAAAACAATGTTCATAAACATGTATTTAAAAACGATACAAAATATTTAATATGAAAAATAACAAAAACAATATGATAATGTTACAGATTTTAAGTGTTTTTTCGAATTAGTTAATAATATTTAGTGCAAATATAATTTTCACAATAATAAAAATTTTGAATGAAAGGCGAAACATGATAAAAGAGAAAGAAAAAAAAAATAAATTACATATTATAAAAAAAAATACATTAAATGTTTTATGAAAAATATCAATTTACGTTTTTGTTATGTATTTATTATTAAAGATAGGAACGTAAGTAACCAAATGCCTAAGAGTATAAGAAATTTAAAAATCTGGCAACACTGGCAAATTAATTTTTACTTTAAGATGTAATTTAAATAGGCCGCTTTAAGCTGTCCTTATTTTCAACAAAATAGCTTAAGTATTTTTCAAGTTTTAATGGTTTAAAGCAAGTTCAACTTATATACAAAATTACAAAAGTCTGGCAGCATTGGCTAAATAAATTTTCTCTAAAACGTAAAGTTCAAATGATAAGCTAAAAATTGAGCCTAGTTTCACTCAAATCACATAAATACTTTCCAAGGTTTAGCGTTTTAAAGACTATTGAACAAATAAACAAAATTTTTAATAGTAGGCAACACTGGTAATACAAATTTTTCTTAAAACCAATAGCCTAAGAGATAACCTAATGATTGACACCACTTTCACGAAAATCACTTAAAAACTCTTAAAGTTATAGTAATTTGAAAAAGTTTATAAAATACCATAACATTTTTAAAGCCTGGCAACACTGGTGAAATAAATTTTGCTATCGAACAAATAGCTTAATTTATAACCTATCGAATGAGCCCAATTTTATTAAAATCGGTTAAGTATTTACGAAGTTATAGCCATTTTTAGAATCCCTTATTTCGCCGAATTTTTCGAAACACGGCAACCCTGTTACTACATCGAGTCCACGCCATCTATTGGTGGGGTAGATGGTTTTTCGGCAACTGAAAAATGTGGTACCCAAAAGCCAAATTTTCAAAACGCAATTACTCCTAAACCGCTTAACCGATCTTGAAAAAATGGACATGGATTTAAAGGGCTGAAATTGTAGTTTTTAAAAATTTATTTTGCCAGTGATGCCGGACTGTAAACTTTATTATATTTCAATGTATATTAAAGATACCTTTCAATGGCTATAAATTTTAGATTATTTGCCAAAAGTTCTTCAAATTCTTGTTAACGAACAGCTAATATTACATACTAAGCCCTAAAATCTAGATTTCCAGAGTTGCCATCATATTTGATAAGAAAATTGCTAAATTTCAGTTATTTGTTTTAATCTTCATATCTAGGAAACTACTAATTATACCTTTTCCTAAATTGGCTACAATGCTGAATTATATAAAAATTTCCATGACCAAAGTTGCCAGATTGTTACTAAGTCCATTTTTTGCCATTTCTGTCATCTTCTAGGGTTAAAATTGCATTCAAAATACTAATTATTTCCTATTGTTAAATATAGCTTACGCATCAAAACATATCACAAAAAGTATGTTTTTCAGGCAAATTACTTGGCAACTCTGGTTGGAAAATATTTAATGGTGTCGTGTAGGAATTCTACTTTTCAAAAATAGTAACTTTAAAATCCTGGGACAAAGAACATAGATTGTATGGGAACACATAGCTATCATTTGTTTACTTAACTTTATACAAAAATTAACATCTGGCAACACTGGCAAAATAAATTTTTTAAAACTACAATTGGAGCCCTATAAATCTACATCAACTTTTTCCAGATCGGTTAAGCGGTTTAGGAGTTATTGCGTTTTGAAAATTTGGCTTTTGAGTACCACATTTTTCGGTTTGCAGAAAAACCATCTATCCCACCAATAGATGGCGTGGACTCGATGTAGTAACAGGGTTGCCGTGTTTCGGAAAATGTGGCAAAATAAGGGATTCTTAAAATGACCATAACTTCGTAAATACTTAACCGATTTGAATAAAATTAGACTCATTCGCTAGGTTATAAATTAAGCTATTTGTTTGATGGAAAATTTAATTCGCCAGTATTGCCAGACTTTAAAAATGTTATAGTATTACAGAAACTTTTTCAAATCACTGTAACTTTTAAAGTATTTAAGTGATTTACATGAAAGTAGAGTCAATCATTAGGTGATCTTTTAGGCTATTGATTTTATGAACAAGTTGTATTAAAAGGGTTGCCTAATATGAAAAATTTTGCATATTAGCTAAATATTCTTTAAATCACTAAAACTTGGAAAGTATTTAAGGGATCTGAGTGAAACTAGACTCAATCTTTAGGTTAGCATTAGAACTTGAAGTTTTAGTTAATGTTTGTTTAGTCAGAGCTGCCAGACTTTTGTATTTTTATATATAAGTTTAACTTGCTCTAAATAATTAAAACTTGAAAAGTACTTAAGCTATTTTGTTGTTTCCGAGTTATAGCGCTTGGAAAATAAGTGTCTTTATACCACAATTTTTTGTTAGCTGAAAAACCATTTACCCCACTATTAGATGGCGCTGTAAAACTGGAGTGGCAGGGTGTGCAAAGTTTAAAAAATGTTACAAAATTAGGGATTTTAAAAAAGGCTATAACTCTGAAAGTACTGAAGGGATTTAAATGAAACTAGAGTCAACCGATAGCTTAAAGCTTAAACTACTTATTTTTTGTAAAACTTATTTCACCAGTGTTGCCGGACTATTCAAATTATATAGTTGTTTTGGACATGCTTAAAATAGCTATAATTTTGTTAATTCTTAAACGATTTGAGTGTAATTAGAGTCAGTCAATTGGCTGAAATTAATATAAACTATTTCATAAAAAATTTACTTACCAGTGTTGCCAGATTTGTTCGAATTTCTTATATTAAGTTAAACATTCTTTAAACAGCTGTAACTTTGAATACACATAGATGTTATGATTGAAACTAGTAGCAAGATGTACACGAAAAATATAATTTCTAGAAAATTTATTTCAGCAGTGTTGCCAGACTTGAAAAACTGAAAAAACTAAGTAACTTGCTAAAATAATAATTTGAGGATGTCTTAAGCGATTTAGGTACAATTAGAGCCAATCGATTGGTTACATTTTTACGAAAACTTAACTACCAGTGTTGCCAGATTTTGTGAATTTTGTTACGATAAAGTAACTTTTAACAAGAGGACGCAAATCTATAAATAAATATATTAACATATTATGATTGTAATTAAGTACAAGTGCGACATGCAAACTCGGAATTTTAGAAAATTTATTTCATCAGAGTTGCCAGACCCACATGATTTTAAAGTAATTTGATGCAAATTTCTATAATTTGAATATTTTTAATGCGATATGAAACAATTAGATTTAAGCTTTTGTTTTCAACAAATACAGTTTTTTTACTAAAAATTTACTTACCAGTGTTGCCAGATTTTGGGAATTTGGTATACTCGAGAAATATTTATCAAGCAACTATACAGTAAAAATTTTATTTTTATAAATAAATGCAATTATTGAAATGTTTACTCTGAAGACACACAAAGGCCCCATTTACAAATTCTCCACAAACCTTGATTAGCTAGTGTTCTTATCAATTTACTAATTTAACCACAATTACGAAAAAAAAAATCGTTATAAAATTCATACCTAAGTGTCAGTAAATATTCAAAAGAATAATAAAAACAGCTAAAGCTGTAAGCAAACACAGATTAAAATAGACATGATCATACAGATTTATATATACACAAACAAAAAAGAATATAATTTAATATCTTTATAACATAGCATCTTAAAGATATTAAAATGCGAGAAAATATCATCGTTACAATAAATTAAATAATAAATTTTTAACTTACAGTAACACATTGACTTTGAAACCATCAACATTTCGTAAAAAATATGTCGGAATTAGAAAAAGGGCTTTTAAATCCTAAAAGTAAAGTTACTATAACATCTAAGGAAAATAACGACAATAAACCTAAAGAACAATGGGGGAATGAAATCGAATTTCTATTTTCCTGCATTTCATTATCGGTGGGTTTGGGCAATATTTGGCGTTTTCCCTATATTGCCTTTCAAAATGGTGGCGGTGCTTTTGTTATTCCCTATTTAATAGTTTTATTGATAATAGGACGTCCTGTATACTACTTAGAAATATTAGTAGGTCAATTTTCAGGCAGAGGTTGTATTAAAGCCTTTGATATGGCACCGGTAATGAAAGGTATGTATAAAGAAGAAACCCAACTTTTATAAAAAATTTTTAAAGTTATTTATTTTTTTGTTATTTAAACTTTTGCAATTTTTTAGGTGTAGCTGCTGGTCAAGTCTTAGCTACTGGGGCCTCCATCACCTATTATTCCAGCATAATGGCTTTAACATTAAGATTTTTAATAGCGTCGTTTTCAAAAGTTTTACCATGGAGCTATTGTCGCAAAGAATGGGGTTCAATATGTTTGGAAAACGATTTGATGGCAAATAACACAACTGACAGTTTAAATAAAATGTCACCCGCTGAGCTTTATTTTCAGTAAGTTATTGAAACGACTTTATATACGATCAGAGAAGACTATTTAGAACTAGAACTGAACTAGAACTGAACTAGAACTGAACTAGAACTGATCTAGAACTGAACTAGAACTGAACTAGAACTGAACTAGAACTGAACTAGAATTGAACTAGAACTGAACTAGAACTGAACTAGAACTGAACTAGAACTGAACTAGAACTGAACTAGAACTGAACTAGAACTGAACTAGAACTGAACTAGAACTGAACTAGAACTGAACTAGAACTGAACTAGAACTGAACTAGAACTGAACTAGAACTGAACTAGAACTGAACTAGAACTGAACTAGAACTGAACTAGAACTGAACTAGAACTGAACTAGAACTGAACTAGAACTAGAACTGAACTAGAACTGAACTAGAACTGAACTAGAACTGAACTAGAACTGAACTAGAACTGAACTAGAACTGAACTTGAACTGAACTAGAACTGAACTAGAACTGAACTAGAACTGAACTAGAACTGAACTAGAACTGAACTAGAACTGAACTAGAACTGAACTAGAACTGAACTAGAACTGAACTAGAACTGAACTAGAACTGAACTAGAACTGAACTAGAACTGAACTAGAACTAAACTAGAACTGAACTAGAACTAGAAATGAACTAAAATCGAACTAGAACTGAACTAGAACCGAATTAGAACTGAACTAGGACTGAACTAGAACTGAACTAGAACCAAACTAGAACTAAACAACTACTGAACTAAAAACAAATTTAAATCGATCCTTAATTTTTTGAATTATAAAACAGTTTATAATTTTTTTAGAAATGAAATTTTACAAGAATTCCCTAACATCGACAATGGCATTGGTTCACCTAATTGGGAATTGGTAGGCTGTTTGGCCTTGTCATGGTGTATTATAGGAGCAGTATTAATAAGAGGTATGCTAATAATAACAATTTCAATCTAAAACACATTTTTACGCAAACTATTAAATAGGCATCAAAAGTTCGGGCAAGGCAGCTTATTTCTTGGGTGTATTCCCCTATGTGGTTCTAATAATTCTCCTGATAAGAGCTGTCACTCTACCAGGAGCTTTACAGGGCATAATCTACTTTTTCAAGCCACAATGGCAGGAGTTACTCAATCCTTTGGTAAGTTTAATCAAGTTCGCTGTAAAGCCAGCAATAAGAATTCTTCATTTAAAAATAAAGGTCTGGTATGCAGCTGTTACCCAAGTATTTTTCAGTTTGGCCATTTGCTTTGGTACTTTGATCACCTATGCTTCCTACAACAATTTCAAACGGAATGTTTACAAGTAGGAAATTTAAGATATATAAAGATATTTCAATTAGCAATTAAAAATTTTCAGTGATATTGTCATTATAACTACCATGGATTCTTGTTCCTCGATAATTGCTGGCTGCATTACTTTTGGCATCCTGGGTAATTTAGCTTTTCAAACGGGTAACACCGATATAGCAAAAGTGGTGAAGGGCGGCGCGGGTTTGGCTTTTATATCTTATCCAGATGCCATAGCAAAATTTGAATTTATACCACAGGTAAGCTATCAAGGCTTTAAGGCCATGTTGATGCTTTAAAACACAACTACCTAAAGGCATTTGCGGTCCTTTTCTTTTTGATGCTATTTGTCTTAGGTATAGGCAGTACAGTGGGCATGGGTTCTTGCATAATACGCGTAATCAGGGATCAATTTGTTAAGTGTCCCAATTGGCCTTTAGCCTTGGGTTTGAGTGTGTTGGGTTTTGCCATTAGCATTATCTACATGTGTCCCGGGGGACAATTTATATTGAATTTGGTGGATTTCTATGGAGTTTCTTTTACCGCCTTGATATTGGCCATCGGTGAATTATTAGCTGTTGGTTGGGTTTATGGTAAGTTTTGTTGTAAACAGTTGTTTTTTGAAATTGTTTTAAATTTCTCTTTTTAGGTATTAAACGTTTTTGTGAGGATATTAAATTTATGGTGGGTTTAAAGACCGGCTTATATTGGCGTTTATGTTGGGGTGTTATAACTCCGGGTCTAATGTTGGCTGTTCTTATTTATACTCTGGCTGATTTGAAGCCTTTGACCTACAAAAATGTGGATTATCCTTATATAGCTCATGGTAGTACATAATAGAATATATTTAAAATATTTTAAAATTTTTGTTTCAATTTATTTCTTTTTTTAGCTTTTGGTTGGTGTTTATCGGCATTAGGTCTTTTACAAATACCCGGATGGGCTTTATATCAATTTTGGTGCCAAGATAAGAAGTTAAATTTTAAACAGGTTAGTTGCTTTTATTTAAACATTCTTTAAGGTTAAATTTAATTGATTCTTGTATTTTTTAGAAATGTTTGGCTTTATTTAAACCTTCAAGAGGTTGGGGTCCTTTGGATCAAAATGAGCGATATGAATACGACAATTATCGCAAGAATGTAGAAAATAAACAAGGCGGACAACTAAAAGGACAACTAAATTTTTGGAATAATTTATTTAACTAAATTAAAACAATAATGAAATCATTTAACTAAAGACCGAAATAAAGAAAGTTAACTTCATCAAATATACACAAGTGGAAAGACGCATCGCTCAGATTTCTGTTACTCAGATTGGGAATTAGTTAAAATTGAATTAGAACCGAACTAAAACTTAACTAGAACTGATTCTATGATTTTCTCTCCTAAACCCCTTCACTTGATTTTAACATTCTTAATTTAATCATAAACACATTATTATGATGCCACTCAATAACTTACCCTTGAGACAAACCATATTAGACATTTTCAAATTCAACTGTGGCTTCTTGCAGTCTCTTCTTGTTGTTTTTATTATTTTAAAATTTTATTTTAATTATCCATTAATTTTAAATCGCTTACCGTCAGCTCAGCCAAATAAACTCTTTTTGTTATCAAATAATCACGCATCAATTTGAAAAACGTAAATTGATTTGTCAAAGTAATAAAGCTTAGAGATAAAATAAAATGCCATTCAATGGCATAATACAATAAGGAAATACCCGATAAAACTATACAAGTTTGTATAATTGTTAGAGTGGCATAGATCAAAGATGGATTGTGGAAAAGTTTCTAAAGAATAATACACAAAATAAATGACTCTGTTATACATAAAATTATTTTTAATACTTACATAAAATCTAGCATGTGAAGAATTACCGGGAGTGGCCACCGTTACCGGGCCAAAACTGCGATACAATTCCCCACTACATTTAGCTACGGTATTATGGCCCCAAAGAGCACTTTTTATCCAATTAGGAGCCGTAGCACTGACCACACAATCAGCGCCAGCACGCAATTCTAATTTAAACCAATAGCCCAAATGTAAAGCAGCTCTGTGAAGAATATCACTGTATTTAGAGGGGAAACTAAACACCGTACACATGGTGAAGACACTAAAGAATACCAGTAGAATGTGAATGCTGGCCCATAGCACGTTATATTGTACCGCAGAGGCAAAATAGCAGGGTAGAAACGTAGAAAAATAGGCGTTTAACAACGAAGTAAAAATAACCTGCTTAAAGCGGCAATTGAAATCATTGCGTAAAACATCTATTTCAAAGCGTATGGCATTGGGATTTGCCGAACAGGAATGTAAAGGAAAACCATTAAAGTAGGCACCTTTTACCTCATAATTAAAACGTAAAAAAGGTTCCAAAGTAAAGCCAAAGGCCAGGAAATATACTATAAATCTAAAAAGAAACAAAGATTTTAAAAACAGAAGTTTCTATCAAAAACTTTGAAGAACTTACGGATATATTAATAAAAATATAGTCAAGTAATTATTGTTGTTGTAGAGCATAACTATGCAAGCTATAAGCAAAGCCAATATAACATCCTCTATGACATATTTGCAAATGCCCATCATTTGTTGCAGGTGGGTGGGCAGCAGCAATTCCACAGCCCTTAAGCAGACACAATACACTAATCTTCTAGCATTTATGGCCACAATTAATATTAGCAAAAAAGGTTCAATATGATAAAGATTCTAAAAAATAAAAATATTTGAAAAGATTGAAAACAATTTAACACTGTAATCCAGTAGTTGTCTAATTTGCGAATTTTCTTTGTGGTTTCTAAATTTCTTATTAATTCTGACAAAAATCTGCCAATTAGACCAGTACCGGGACAGGATAAATTCATGTATACAACTCACCATAGTATTTGTTATTTGCGAGTGAGGTAACCACCAGTTTGTGCGATAAATATTTATAAATTGCATGGCAGCGGCACATGTTGTAAATAAAAACATTAACAATTCATTTAGGATCTCTGAGGAACCGGGATAGTCTGGAAATGGTATATGTTTGGGCATAGGTGTTGCCGATTGTGCTATACCTTGGTTATCTTCTTCTTTATTATCACGCATTGTTGGTATTTAATATGTTTGTAGTTTTACACTTGTAAATTGTATGTTTTAATTAATTTTTTTCTAATTAGTGTTTGTAAAATTTAGTAAAATTCATGTTATTTTTAATATATTTTTCCAATTGTATAAAAAAACAAAAAGTAAACAAATCTAAACAGCTGATTGGTGATATTACCAGATTAATTGAAAAAATTCCCCTTGTAATACAACAGGCTAATTTGTAATAAGAGGACAACAGAAAACGAATTCGTTATATAGTTTGACATAGAAGCCTTCGGTTGATTATTTTTTACATGTAGGATTTGACATTTAACTTTTTAATTTCAATAATGAATTGTGCAAATAATATCACCTTATGTTAATATATTTTATACTACATGTTTCCATCTCTGTTATGAAAAACTGCAAAAATTAATTGTTTACATTTAAAAAGCTTAACCCATTAAGTTTCATTCATGCAAATTCACTTGTGGAAAAAGTAATTTTAGGCAGAAAAAATAATTTTGCTTGCGAAAGACCTTTATAGAAAACAATTTTCAAGACGTCATTCTTAATTAATTTTTAAGTAGAAATTTGTAACCGATTATGGCCAATAGGCTAGGTTTATTTGGAATAAATTAAATTAATTAGTAATTATATACAAACATTTTCTAAGAAAGGCAATAAACTATCACCATAAATATTTTTATTAAAATAGCCAGACATTATTTAAAAAACCACAATTTTTAAAATTTTCTCTACAAAAAATTGCAACAGAAGCAATTTTATTTTAAAAGAAAACTGATATTTTTCTTAAAAAACGTTCTATATAAAATACACATGTATTTGTGACATTAATAGTTTATTTGATAAAACAAGCAAGATCTTAACAATTATTATGTAATTTTCTTAATAAAACAACAAAAGTTTTGTGCAAAAACATCAACATTAATTCTTATTTTCTATGAAATTCCAAGAACTGCCCTGAGAATGATCACGTATTTCAATACCATGATTGCGCAAACAATTTCTCAAATCATCACACACTTTAAATAATTCCTTATTTTTCCCCATCACTGCTTGCTGTCGTATGTTTTCGCGTGTTTTTAAAATATCTTCAATTATGGCATTAATATTTATGTTTTCTTTATCATTAATGCTGCGCTGTGCATCTGCAAAGCTGAAACCAAATGATTGCAAAATATAATCAACATAATTATTTACCGCGGCAATAGCATCTAAACATGAAGAAGTTTCATTTTCTACGGTTGCATTGGTATTTGTATTAATACAACGACTAACTCCAGAAATTTGATCTAAGAGTATGCTTATTGAACGTGCTGTGTCAAAGTCATCTCTGATACAAGAGTCTATATTGGATTTAGCATAATGTAGATTTTGAAGTATTGTATTAGCATTCAAATTGGAGCCAATTTTCTTGCCATTTAAATAAGCTAAGCAGTCGGCTTTAAATGTTTTAAATTTGTTTAACGTATTTTTAGCAGTTTCCATTAATTCTTTGCTATAATCCATTGAATTTTTATAATTCGATAGAGCACAAGCCATACGAAAATCGTCAGCAGTAAACTCCTTCAGCATTTCATCTATGGATATGGTATTTTTTAAGGACTTGGACATTTTTTCACTTTCTCCTTTGATATTTAAATGGCCAGTATGCAGCCAGTAGTTTACCCACTGGCGCGTATCATGATAGACACAACTTTGAGCCTCTTCATTTTCATGATGTGGAAATCTTAGATCCATACCTCCCGCATGTATATCAATAGACTTGCCAAATATCATATTTGCCAAAGTACTGCACTCAATATGCCAGCCGGGTCTTCCCGCACCCCAAGGCGAGGGCCAACTGGGTTCATTTTCGGACTTACGTGCTTTCCATAATGCAAAATCAAACGGGGAAAGTTTATTTTGCGATTTCAAAGCTTCATCATCATTTAAATTTAAATTCTGCAATTTGCCGTAAATAGGAAACTGTTTTACATCAAAATAAACCGAAGAATCTTGAGACACATAGGCGCATTGTTTTCGTACTATATCTTCAATATAACTGATAATTTTAGGCATATGTTCCGTAACCCTTAACTTAATATTAGGTTCTATTACATTTAATTTACGCAAATCTGACCAAAATTCCGTTTCGTAATAATGAGATATTTCTCGCCAATCTTTGCCCGATTCCTGGCTCCTTTTTATGATTTTATCATCGATATCCGTTATATTCATAGCACTAACAATATTAAAATTAAAATGCTGTCTTAATATACGTTGTATAATATCTAATTTAACATAACAACTGGCATGACCCAAATGAGAAGAATCGTAAACAGTTGGACCACAGGTGTACCAGGTTAGAAAGTTTTCATTGGGTAGTATGAGAGGAACTTGACGTCTGGCGGCACAATTATAAATGCGTATACCGGTATCTATGCCATCCGGTTTAAACCAACGTTGTTGCGAACACATCGTACGTAAAGGGTTAATAAAATATCCCAAACGTCGTTTGGTCATAATGCAACTGCAGAAATTTATAAAATATTTAATAAAAATTAGTCTAATTATTTATTGTTTTCTACTTACTTTGTTTTAAACATGTTAATTTTAAGACTAAAATGATACTTGTTCACATAAAACCTGATTTTTATAATTAATTTTTCGCAAAAATGCAAAAGTTTTTGTTAATAATAACGAAACAGATGGTCCGGTTTTATAGTCTTCTAATAAAAATTGCCATATTTAAAAAAAGCACAAAATTTCCCAAACATTGAGTAACCTTGCCTTATCAATATGCTTATTGTTTTGGGAAATTATTTTCTTTTCCAAAAATATGGCAATCTTAATGAATCATATGTTTTGGGTAATTTTGGTTATTGCGTCTGTTAGTCCACTGGATTCTAACCATTTTTTATAAAAATAATCACTTATTTTTAAATAAAATCTTTTCAAAATGATGCGCTATGAGGAAAACGAAAAATTGGCTGATAATACTGCCTGTGCTGGGGTACGAGCCGATTTGAAAATGTGTTTATTAGAAAGTGATTGCTGCAAAAAGGTAAATAACGCTCGATTGGGTGGTTGCAACGAGTTTTATAATTGTTGTGATATTTTAGGACAAGAGGACTCCCAGGGAGTGTTTGCAAGCTAACTTGGTGCCTGAAGAATGTCAAATTCTACGCAATACCTTTTTTGAGTGTAAAAGATCCATAGTAAGTCGGTTTTTAATAAATTTGTAAACTGATAATTATTGTTGATGTCATTACAGCTTGACAATCGTATGCGTTTCAGGGGTCGTAAAGGCTATTAGTTTTTCTTTCGAGTTTGCTAATAAGTCATCATTATAGTCAGTCATCAACTAATAGGTTTAAATAAATAAATTGTTTCTTTGATATAAAAATAAATGTTTTAATTATAAATAATCAAGATTAAAACTAAGTTATGTAAAAATTCATTCCTACATACAATTCCACTTTTGTTTGAAAAACGTTACCAATGAAAAGACTTTGATAATTGACAGGGTTATTTCCTTCATTTAATATTGGATTCCCATATTTTTTTAAATCTATTCATCTTTGAAATTGTTACCACACAACACACCATTCCCTGATTGAGAAGCATATTATGGCTAGAACTTCAATAATTTTCTGAAGTGAGAAAACTCGCGAAAGCTTTTAAATTGATATATTAAACTAAAAATTTTCAAATGTACATTTTAAGCTTGCGACTCTTTTTGTTTTGTACATTAGTTTTAAACTATAGTTCGACTTTTTTTAAAAAAGTTCAAAATTTATGTTATTTTTAAAGTTTTTCCTAATCACCTAGTAAAATTATCCCTTAATATGGCATCCTTGAAAGTTTAACGTCCCCGTTTTTGTTGCAAAAAATACAACACTGCTGTTTGTTTGACAATTAGTCAATTTAAAATTCCTTTGCAAGGGAAATTTGATAGCAGAAAAAAACGAACCGCCATTTATATCCCAGGCGGCATCAATAAAATATATTTTGTGTTTTTAAATAAAAATCACCTTAAACCTAAACTAAAAATAATTAAATATGGATTTCCATAAAAGTTTATATCATGAGATGCATTCCCAGACACCTCATCACAAAAGAGAAAATCGTAGATTGCAGGAAGCCAATCGCATCAAGCAGAGAAGAGATCGTTTTCAAAATTCAAGGAATATTTCAGTTAGTCCGGTGAGACATAAAGAAATTATAATTCCCCTATGTCCAGATGATAAGGAAAATGAAAGCCAAACTGATAATCCGAATTCTACACGCTTAGCCAAATTGGTGTGTAATACAAATAACCCAGAGAAATTGAAAAAGCAGGAGGCTTTTTTGAAACGCTTCGCTGAATGGATGGATAAGAAGAAAAATGCAAAAACACAGCAAGAGGGGGTTAATAAAAAGAAGCCTTTCATATCGGCTGTTAATAGTGGTGGCAAACAAGCGGCTACGACTTGTTCTATAGTGCCAAAAGGACATCATGATGGTTTTCGACCGCCAGCGGGGCTTAAGAGTCAAAAACCAAATGAAAAGGTATTAAAATATGTTTTAACATAGCATTTCTTTGAAAAAACAATATGATACTAGTAGGTACCAACATATGTTAGACTTTTGAAACTCTAAATTGACTGATTTTGTTAAATTGATTTAAATTTAAATAGACCTGAACTTAGACTTTAGTATATTTGTACTAGACCATATCTAGGATTGAACTACAACTAATTTATAACTGAATTGGAACTCAACTAAAAATGAACTAGAACAGAACTAATTTAAAACTGAACTAGAACTGAATTAAGGCGCATTTCTAACATCAATTTTAAATTACACTTTAAAATTTCCAAAACTAAATTAAAAATTCCTTTTTTAGGCTGAAACCATTAACAAACCTATCCTTAAAGGCAGACAGTCAATTTATACAGTAGTACCCACACCACCAAGAAAACCCAAGGAAACAAATGATAAATTAAAAAACAAATTTCCAATTGCCCGCAAAGCATTGCCGACAAATTTACACACACGGATATTAAATTCAAACAAAACACCAAATGTTTCTGCCCCAAATTCTGCCAAAACTGTCAATAAATTGCAAACGAAAACACCAATAGATAAACCAAAACCTGTGGTTAAAAAGAACTCTACTACCAAACCAACTTTAGAAACAAAAACAGCCACCGCAACATTGCCTACCTTAAGGTCTACACTAAAGCCTCGCGTTTTAAAAATGCCACCACCACCAGCTCCTAGAACAAAGGCGGTTGTAAAGAAACCAGAACCTACTACAACTACCACCAATAGGCAGACAGGGGCTGCAGCTAAAGCCAGAAATTTAGCTACAAAACGTGTAGAAACTAATAAACAAACAAAAAAATCTCCTTTAAAAGCTGGAGGAGCGCGTTTAGCTCAAAATTTAAAGGCCAAAAAACCTTTAAATACTTCCAAGAAATTAAAAGTACCCAATGTTCAAGTTAATGGTAAAGAAATTTTAAGTTTATTTAAAAACAACAACAATAAACCTTTGGCAGAAGATATGGTTATACAAACTCCCAAAGATTTCACATTAAATCCTTTCGAAGAGTTTGTAACCTCCACAAAGTTAAGAAATTCTAGCCATAATTTAGAGAACTTGGAAGGAAATGGCATAAGTCCTATAGAAACTTCCCCAAAAAGGGCTCATACTGTTAAAAAGTTTAATTTTATAAGATATTCCGAAGCCCCCAATGTATCGGACAATGATGCAGTGGAAAATGAAGTTGAACAAGTTAAAGAAAATCCACCAACAGCAGCAGCAGCAGCTAATGTCTCTGATGAAGAAAATAAGACTCTGGTAGAAACTCCAGCTATAGACGAAAAAACTCCTACAAAATCTAAACCAGAAGAAAAACCCGCCAATTATTTAAGTCCCTTCGTTAGTGTCACCCGCGGTAAAGTCAGCTTAAAAAAGGAGAAGGAAAAACGTAATAGTATTTATCTACAGAATCCAGCTGAAGATAATGATGCGACTACGGTCAGTACTAGTCCCCTGAAATCACCCAAATACTCAGTTGAGGTGCGTAGAACCCTGGAAGCTGTGCGTTATTTCCGCAAACAATTACAAGATGAAATTGATAGACTCCACCAGCAGTGTGACATTTGGGAGGCTTATAAGAGTGAAAATCTGGAAAAACTACAAATTGAAAATGTTGAAGACATGATCAATGTTACCATTGGTCAAACACGTCTTTTGACAAGTAAAAAATTTATGCAATTTAAGGGTTTAATTGATCGCTGTGAAGCAGGCGCCACCGGTATTGGGGCCGTTGAGTATGATGGTAGTGAAGACACTAAACCCATAACAGCAGTAGACTTGGAAGGATTTTGGTCCATGTTGGGATTGCAAGTCGATAATTTGGAGAAACGTTTTGATAATTTAAATCGTTGGAAATTGAATGATTGGATAGATCCCGATGAAGCGAAACCTAAAATTAAAAAGAATTTAACAAAAGTAAAGAAAGCCAAGGCAGCACCAGCTACTAAAGCCAAACCCAGTTCCGCGTTGCAGCAAATGTTGCGTAAAATGCAGGCAGAAAAGCGTAAAAACAGAAATCAGCAAAATGGTGGTAATGAAGATGTGGTACTAACACCATCCAAACAGAATCCCAGACGTTCCGGCAACAGTAGTAATTCCACACCACGCAAATCTATGGATAATAGCCAAACACGTCGTTTATCGATAGTAGTAAAAGATCGCAAATATTTCTCTCCTGCAGCTACAGTAATTTCGGTTTCCTCTCCCAATCGCAGAAATTCAATGATACGTAAAACTTCCCAGGATTCGCCCAAATTGCTAAAGCATATAGAAAAGTTCAATGAGACTTTGGATAACATGCAATCGTCTTTGGATTTAAGGAAATCCGTGTTAATAAACGGCAACTCAAGACGCATGAGTATAAATCCACAATCACCCATGAGAAATTCTTTGGATAAAGTCGGTATAAAGGAAACTGTAATGGCTGTAAATGGTAATTTTACTGTCGGCCATGAGGAGGAACCAACTTCCAGCCAAACTAATTTCAACACATCACCGCAACATTCACCAGTGCCTACTGGACGCAAATCTATACTTAAAACTCCCGGCACGGCCAAAAGCAGACTACGCAATGTTATATTCAATGAAAAGTTGCGCGTAAAAAAATTTAATTTTCTCATAAACGAAGATGATCAATTGAATGGTGAAAATGGCAATAACGAGGCCAATGAGTCACATGAGGAAGATTTGGCACAAAGGGTTGATGAAGGTAAACTATAAACATTTTTATGTTTAAAAGTTTTACTTTTTAATATTCCTTTTCTTCTGTTTTAGATGAACCCCAGCGTACTTTAACATTGCGAAATCGTAAAGTACGTTTGCGTCCTTCTTGCGAAATCGTTATACCTTCTAAATAATATGGGCCTATACTTCATTTGTATAATAATTTTTTATTTTATTATATTTTTTTATACTTTTATTATGTTAACTGTTGCGTTTTTAAATCTTGACCTATCATCATATTGGAATAACAAGTCGTTTACTTTTATTCTTAAGAATTTTTACTGGTTTCAAACTACACTTACAAGTATTTATGTGTGGGTTTGTGAAAAAGTAATTTTGAAATAATAAAGTAACGATTAATTTGTTATTTTTTTGTTTTTCTAAATATTTAAATCGCTGTCTGTGTTTTTTTTATTACATACTGTATTTTTTCAATAAAGATTAATTTAACAAAATTTTATTTAATTCTTAAATCATTTAAAAGTTTAAGGTGTAATTGTTAGTTTTTGTAGAAATTCTCTGAATTGAAATAGTGAACGAATGAGACTTTGTATCAGAAATAAATTTTGTAGCAGAATTGATGTAAAATCGCAAACTTTTTAAAATTTTATAAAAATTCGATTTTTCACTGTTTTACAATTCAATTTATTTAATTAAGTTAAAATATTATTCAAAATTTAATTTCAATAAAAATTCAAATATTTTATTTCACAAAAATATATTTTTTTATTTGAAATTACACTTTTTTGTTATAAACTAGATTTTTCACTAAAAATTCAAATTTTCATTAAAAAGTCAAATTTCCACTTTAAATTCCATTTTTAAATAATAATTCCAATTTTTGAAAAAAAAAAATTAATAAAAATTCTATTTTTCACTAAAAGTTCAAATTTTGTGAAAAATTTCATTTCCCAATTAATATTCGATTTTCTCTAAAAATCCCATTTTGTAAGAAAATATTTTTAGCAAAAATCGGATCTTTGTTTGTTTTTTAAAACGTTTTTAAAATGTTAAATGAGAGATTCTTAGAAACTTGGTAATTTTTTACAAATGATTTCGTTGTATAATTAATATAATAATAAAAAAACATAAACATATTATTATAAATATTTCAGAAACTTAATACATAACCCTATCATCAGACACGATATAGTAAATTCAGAATTTTTAATTAAATTACTCTTACAAATGTGTAATTGAAGAAAAATCTTCAAGCATAGAAATACAACTCTGTGCTTTAAACCCTTATAAAAGTATAAAAACAACAAGTCATACATGTTTCATAAAATATTAATTCAATTAAACTGTTATATAAATTTTAATTTATTTTTTTTATAACGTTATATATGATGTTTTAAAATTTTTATTTACTAAATTTCATTTAAAATTACAAAACAAAAAAAATTTCCCTTGTTCCTGTCTCACATTCCACTGACAGTAGTGCCAACATTGATGTAACAAATAAAAAATACAACTCTGTTTTTCTTCTAACACGAATGTCATCAAAGCAAAAAAAATCCATTTCAATAATAAATGAAAAATTTCCTTCTACACACGATAACGCAGAATACAGCAAAAATTTTTAATTTGAAATTTTATTCAAAATATATTTAAGTAAAATGTGTTAAAACTATTATAAGTGGAACAAGATTTAGTGCTTAAGTGAAAAGTGTAAAAACTCTTTGGACTTTTGGTAAAATAACGCGCCTATTTTGTGGTGTTACTCTCCCACAAATTGTCGTAGTAGTGCTGTGCAGTGTTTACTTACCAATTTGGTGAACTTTTTTTACAATAAATTGCAATTTTTCCCATTAATATAAAACGTAATTTGAAGAAAATCCTCTCAAGAAGTTACCAACAATGGATATCAGTGATAATATGGGTAAGTGTTGGCATATTTATTATTACTTTTTGGAAAGCTTTGCATTTGGATTTCAAATTGAATTTTCAATTGCTGATTGTTGTTGCCTGTACCAACAAGCAGGGCGAACGTTTGTCTAAGGCATGGAGTAAAAAAATGAAAATATACGTATGCTTTCAATTAGTTATAAGTTAATTGTTTATTATATATAAATTTAAATTGTTTTTATTAAGTTTTAACTAAATAATATGTAGAGTAATAACTTTTAATGGAAAATACATTTTGTTGCTGGCACATTAGGTTCATACAATTGCCAACGGCCAATGTACGTTTTTGTTAACGGGATTTTGAGTAAATGTTTGAATTGTTTTTATTAAAAACCTACAACTATATTTAACAAGTTTTTTGCCAATAGTTTAAGGAAAATTCAGGAAAATGGTAAGAATTTGGTTAATTTTTCCTAAAAATACCATAATGTTTTTATCATACACTCATTGCCTCCAATTTTTTCTTTTATTGAAACGATGTTGCCATATTATGTTTTAATTGGCTATGCCACACTGATAAAATTCCCTTTTCTATAAGAAAAAACAGTGTGGCTAAATATGATCATATGTTGGGATATTTTTTATTTGACATTTTTCTTTGCACATTTTGAGGGTTAGTTTTACGCAATTGCCTGCATTCTTTGTGAATCGTCTAAGAAAATTATAAAATTTTCTGGAATTTAATAAAAGATTATAATATTGGTAAGTTAAATTATATTTGTTATAAAGAACGCAAATTGAATATTAATTTTTTCTCTTAGTTCTGGTTTAATTCACAAGTAAAACTATATTCCGGCATCATGTCTGCATTGCGTGCGGTATGTCAAGCTAGCGGTGTGACCTCTTCAGTATTGGGCAGATGTTCTTCCGTACGTCGTGCTCTTAGCACAGCACGTTTGGTGCGCTTGTCCCAAGGTACACCAGCTGCCTTGCTGCAATTGCAACGTTTTACTCCCATGTCGGCCACCACTCAAGGATTCCAGCAATTTGTTCGTGAATATGCCAACGAAAAGAAGGTGTTCGAACGTACTAAGCCTCATTGCAATGTTGGTACTATTGGTCATGTAGATCACGGTAAAACCACCTTAACTGCTGCCATTACCAAAGTATTGGCTGACAAACAATTGGCCGAAAGTAAGAAATACAATGAAATCGATAATGCCCCCGAAGAAAAGGCTCGTGGTATTACTATTAATGTAGCTCACGTTGAATACCAAACTGAGAACCGTCATTACGGCCACACCGATTGTCCCGGTCATGCTGATTACATTAAAAACATGATTACTGGTACCGCTCAGATGGATGGCGCTATTTTGGTAGTAGCCGCTACAGACGGTGCTATGCCCCAAACCAGAGAACATTTATTGTTGGCCAAGCAAATTGGCATCAATCACATTGTGGTGTTCATCAATAAAGTCGATGCTGCCGATCAAGAAATGGTTGATTTAGTAGAAATGGAAATCCGTGAATTGTTGTCTGAAATGGGTTATGATGGTGATAACATTCCCGTCATTAAGGGTTCAGCCTTGTGTGCCTTGGAAGATAAGAGACCTGAAATTGGCTCTGAAGCTATTTTGAAATTGTTGCACGAAGTTGATAACTTCATTCCCACACCAGCTCGTGAATTAGACAAACCCTTCTTGTTGCCCGTAGAAAATGTTTACTCCATTCCTGGACGTGGTACTGTGGTTACCGGTCGTTTAGAAAGAGGTGTTGTCAAGAAGGGCATGGAATGTGAATTCGTAGGCTACAACAAGGTATTGAAATCTACTGTTACCGGTGTTGAAATGTTCCATCAAATTTTGGATGAAGCTCAAGCTGGTGATCAATTAGGCGCTCTTGTCAGAGGTGTTAAGCGTGATGATATCAAACGTGGTATGGTTATGTGCAAGCCCGGCAGTGTTAAAGCTCTCGATCAATTGGAAGCTCAAGTTTATATCTTAGCTAAAGAAGAAGGTGGTCGTACCAAACCCTTCATGTCTTTCATTCAATTGCAAATGTTCTCACGTACCTGGGATTGTGCTGTGCAAGTCCAAATTCCCGACAAAGAAATGGTTATGCCCGGTGAAGATACCAAACTTATTCTACGTTTAATACGTCCCATGGTTTTGGAACAGGGTCAACGTTTCACCTTGCGTGATGGTAATCTTACCTTGGGTACTGGTGTCGTTACTAAAGTTTTGCCACCCTTATCCGAAAGCGAACGTGCTTCATTGACCGAGGGCAAGAAGGCACGTGAGAAGAAGCAAGTGGCTAAAAAGTAAATCTTAAGAGTAGTAAATAAAACTTATCCATAATATAAGAATTTACAAATTACTTTTTTCCTTTTAATTTTTAAAATTGTTGTAAAACGAATTGTTTAGTATGTTTTTGCTCTGATAACAATTTTCCTATTGGCAATTGTTAAATTTTCGTTTTTTTAAAACAGCATTTGTGTGGTATGTTACGCGCTGGCCCTAATTTTTCTGGGGCTCTAAACAATAGAAACGTTTTTTTATTATTATTTCTCTATATTAAGTAATAATTGAATTATTTTTTTGTCCTTTGTGAAAATGAAAGGAAAATTTAATAAAAATTTAAACAAACAGAAAATCTATCTCAGATGTTTTATTAAAAAGGTAATTAGTTAAGATTTTGAAATGAAAATTCCATTTCCATCATCACAAGTGTGATGATGCTGAAACTGCTGAAAACTGTCCAAAGAAGACACTTTTTCTATAGTAATAGAAAGTACAAATTTTCACTAAAAATCCATTTTTTTTACTAATAAATCGAAAATTTTTCACAATAAATTCCAATAAAATCAATTTTTTTATTTTCTATTAAATTTACTTTTAACATAAATTCTAGATTCTCTAGACGATTCTTCGGCGTTGCCTGAATTAAGCTTCGACGATCTTTTAGATGCCTCACCCATAAAGAAAACAAATAAGTCAAGTTTTGATGATGACGCCTTGGAACTGGATAATGAACGAAAAAATCGTACAGATGATACGCTCAATACGCCGGGACCTAAAAAACCACCCACTATGCAAAAAACTCTTAACACCTCCATAGCCATATCGAGTGGAACGAAAACATTAACGCCCGTAAGAACGCATGCCGTCAAATTGGGAAATAGTCCGAGCACTTTCACCCAGGTGGTTAAAAATAATGGTGGCAACACAACGACAACAAATACAACACCAGTTTTATTAAATACCAAGAATGTTTTACCAAAAACAGCAACACAAATACCCACAAACTCCTCCATTAAATTAACACCAAAAATAGTGGGAGGTAATACTGGCACGGGCAATATAACGATGGCCGGTAAAACAGCGGTACGGACTTCAAATGGTCAAATAATTTATATACAAAAAACACCAACAGCTGGGAATATTAAGGCAGCTGGTGGTTCCACCACAACTATTGGGAAAACACCCGCTTTGGGTGGTAACAATTCTAAACCTGTAACCA